TGAAATTTCGAATACGTCTTGTTGACAAGTATCTGCTAAAACTAAATCTCTAGTTTTCAGCCAACTACTTTTAACTACATGACTTCAGTTAAACGTCCCGAACAGGCAGGACGAAACGCACGTCCTAGATCTCACTACTAGTCACCATCCATCTTTGCTTGTAATGCTTGTGACTTAAAACAATATCAAGGCAATCTGCACAGTATGCACATATGCCAATAAGAGACTGATCAATTGCAATTCTAAACATTGATAAGAAGATTCAAACAACCAATACAAAAATGAACATAACTATAATATTTATTTATAAAGTGAGCTGAATAAAATTAGAAAAATATACAGAATACAGACAAAATAAGTATTTTTGTAAATATGAACAACCTTCGATCGGTTGTATATAAGTATAATATAACATTGATGAAGTTATTTCTAAACGTTTGTATCATTAACCAATCATGATTAATTAATCATTGAGTATTGACCAGTGCCACGTTAATTTAGTCCTTTAATAGAGATAAAATTGCAATTTGAACACTAGTCCTTATATAAATTGACATTGTTTGCACTATGTTGAGAAGTTAGATGACTAAATGAAGTTGATAGGAAAACCTGGTTGTTAATGTTTCATGGTAGGTGGCATACGTCAAGAAAGTGTACCTGTAATCTTGAGGGAACCAATGATTCATCATGGATTTAAACCAAGACTAAGACTGGTTCCTTATAGAATTGAGATACAATTGATTGATCACTGAGTAGTAATGACTACTGAGTTGTTCAATCGATCTTTTTGTGCTAATCGAATTCTGTTGATCAGGTAGGAATTTGGTCGCTTGTCGTAGTAACATGTTATCTCGTGCAATATTTTCAGAGGTAAGATGGTTCGAGTCAGTCATGTGATTAAGTCATTGTCGAATTTATTTTAGACTAATGTCGTTTGTTGATGCTGAGAAATCACCAGTTAAAATAAAATGTAGGTGATAAATTTAATGTCTTAATATCAAATAAAACTAATATTAAATCAACGTAGAACCTTGACAACAAATGGAAATCAATCCCATTTACAGCAAATTTTACATTAGCATAGAGTAATTCAATTGACAAGAATAATGGTATACACGTACCAATGATATGACTCCTAATGAAGATATAATAAATTAAATGTAAAAACTATTATTAAAATTGGAGTGAGGGAAATGCGGGAAATAAATGCATGATATAATATCTAAACTCAATGTTCAAGGGCAGTTAAAAAATCACTACAATTTCACCACTGTGATTGATTTCTAGCAATGTTATTTAAGTGCACTAACCATTGATCATGATTATCTCACAAACTTAATTAAGTAGTTTATATCTACCAAACAGGTTTCAGATCAATAGTCAATAACCAAATAGATTGATACTAGATCACGTTTCTCTATATACCTTAGAATTTTACCCAAAAAATGTTTTTAAAATATGAAACCGTTGAGTATTTATAACACATTTCCCCAGATACCTTAATCCGTGAATATACACAACATTATCAACTAATCTATCATTTTTATTTAGCAATACTAATACACAAATGATTTAGGTACTCAACCATCCATGAAGAATACTTCTAATTACAAACAAAACGTTTAAAAATACCCGCCTAATCAAGGTGAAATGAATCCACATAATATTCTGTCAAAAATTGTTTTAATTTCCTAAGGAACAGTATATGGAAAATCATATCAAAACTAATTTGTTCGTTAAGTATAAGAGAATAGTTTAAATAAATCAATTTGATGTATTTCATTTGTTCTAGGTAATTTGATTCTAAATAAGCTGGTTATGTAAAAACTAGAAAAACTATTTTTATCAACATTATTAAAAACAAAAAAAGAGCTACTTTATATATAAAGAATCAAAATAGTCATCTACATTATAACTATTTGAACTTTATAAAGACTGGACTTATAATATTGCACTACTATTTAGATTTTTTTCTTATCTTAATCACTATGTTCTATGCTCAAGTATTTACAATTGATTGATCACTGGGTGGTGATCAATGTCGTGCGTGTCTAGTCATTATTAGTGCAGACCGAATGCTTTCGATCATGTTGCAATGTGGCCACCAGTCTAGGTGACTCGACACTGTGGGCATTATATATTTGAGATTTAGATGGTGGTTGGAGGTAGTCGACAGAAAACCCTCAAGTATTATTTAAATGAAAAGTTTGTATTGAAATACAATTTATTATGTTGACAATCCAAGTAGGAATGAGATATAACTAGATTTAAAGTTATTTATATCGGTTATTTATTATACGTCATTTGTTTCCCAAAGGTTAGTTTTTTTTCGAATATTAGTGGTTTACGAAAAGTTGTTTGCTAATTGATTTTCTTTTTGATGGAGATGTTAGGTAAATTAACCACTTTATTGTAGAAGGTACATATATATGGTCATTAGTAAATAGCCTTTAGGCGTAAATAAAGACTGTAACCGAATATTTACATAGAACAGTGGGATTGTGGTTAGCAGTAGAATCCAGAATGAGTATTTTGGTCTTGTTGGGAATGATTAACTGAATGTACCTGGATTACACTGTTAGCCATAATCTTTCGGTTCTAAATGACTTGTAGCATAATGACTGTATCCAAGATGCTGAAATAAGATACATATATAGCAATAAAAAGTGACTGAATTTCATTTCATAGTATCCTTAACGAATTAACTTGAACGCTTAATAAGGCAGGTATGAATATCGTATCCTTTCAGCAAGTTAGCATCTATCTGCACTCAATAGCTCAGTGAATAAGACATCGATATTTTGAAGTGAATATTACTGAGTTCGAGTTCTGTTGTGAACAACAATACTAGGTTGTAGATACATGCAGCTGAATCGTAGTTCTCATCGTAAGCAGTCCTAATCGTTCCACATGAAGACCCTATCGCACTTAAAGCAGAGTTTCAATGGTTTAGATGACTCTGTTTGGGATTTTATAACATGATTCGTTTTCACGGGCTGGCATAGCAAACATCACTCCTAAACCTCATCCTTTATTCTGGCTTGTGACTGGCAGTAACCCTACAAGGACTCAAGGTTGAGTAAAGATAAGAAACTTTATCTGTTAACCTTAGCTTCCATATTTCAAGAATCCTATTCTAAAAATGAACATCTATTTAAAGTATCTCTAAATAACGAATATTCTTTATGTTAACAGAGGTTGACTTCAATTGTAACCTCAATTACTTATGACGTGGAAGTACCTAGCCCTTAGATACAATAATAAATACTACAGAAGTTATGAATGAAACTATTTTCATTAGTGTTACTGAATAATCGTCACACTATTCCGTAAATTGTTCAAATTTAAAATTACATTAATGGTTTTATTACTTATGCATTCACTACGATATCTGAAGTTTGTTATCAAGCTGTACAATCGTATATATATGAAAAATGTTTTTTATTAATGTACTAATTCCGTGAGGAAATGTGAATGCAAATTATCAAGATAATATAATAGAAAGATTATAATACCAGATTACGTAATACGAATAATAACAATAGATTTAGTGAATGTAATAATATGGATACGGGAACATGCCCTAGTTTGGTTCTACAAGAGTGAAACGAAAGCAGTTAGGAGTTCTGTACTTGAACACCTAATCTACTGTAGTCATTCTACAGATCCACTGTTTGATTTTAACTTCGTTTATATGATTCATTCTAATCTACCTACATTTCTTTGCATCCAACTCCTAAAAATAGCCAAAGCTCTTATCATCTATAAGCGCAAACCAGAATTATGCGTACTAAAGAAGTACGTCGTGTCGTTACCCTTACATTAGCCTTAATTAATAATATTATTATCGTTATTATTTTTATTACTACTGCATTCCCCTTTACTTAGGTTTTATATTCTCATTATTTTATTCATAAATACTCATCATGTCACCTTATTTATTTTTACATCTCTATGACCTTTAATTATTGTAACAAAAACATTTTAATCATTTTAGTCATCTTATTACATTCACTAAATCTATTGTTACTATTCTTATTACATAATCTAGTATTATAATCTTTCTATTACGTCATCTTGGTTATTTGTATTCATATTTCCTCGCGGAAATAATACTTCAACAAAAAAATATTTCACAGATTGAAATCATGAGCCAATTGAAGCTAGACCATCATGGAAAACCTGGAAGCACTGGATGGCCGTCTCGTCCTAGTTGGGGACTCCTCAGCAGTGAGAAGCCGTTACTAGTGGAGTTCAACCAGGTTTGTTGTGAGATATCAACTCACTGAAGACGATGGTGTACGTTGGTGCAACTTCGTGGATTGGTTGAAGTTAGACATTAACACCGTTGGATGCCGGCTCAGTGGTCTAGTTGGATAAGCGCCTGGCGCGAGACTGATAGGTCCCGGGTTCGAGACTTGCGGGTTGCGGGATCGTGGGTGTGCACTGCCGAGGAGTCCCATACTAGGACGAAACGGCCGTTCAGTGCTTCCAGGTTTACCATGGTGGTCTAGCTTCAATTGACTCATGATTTCAATCTTTGAAATTTCTAAAATCTCCATAAACCCCTTCTGATAAAAAAATATTTGATTTACATACGCAAAAATAAACTCTATTTTTCTTCGCAGCAGTATTTATTCATTTTCACCACTATATGTGCCGTTTGGTAATAATAACAAAAATACTATAAAGTCAAGTGATGGCATGTCAGATAACATAATAAATCCAAGTGCTTATGAGACCAATTATGTATAGTTGACAAACGATAATACTGGTGGGCGGTCCATGCTCCTCCACAAGGGGTAACAGGAGTAAGTAAGTAACAAAGGTGCTAAACAGTGAGGTCCGTAAATACTTGAAGATATTAATGAATTAATGAACGAATTGGAATATATGATTAATGGATTGATAATAAGTTCAATATTCATAACAGTTACTCAGTCAAATTCGGGATAATTATCCATAAAATCTTTTTATTTGATTACCTTTTTGTTGTTTAGGTATTTTTCGCGATTAATTTTCTTCTTTATGGTGTCGATGCATTTTTCTTATTTGCATTATATCGAGTAAATGGTGCTTATTTACATGAACATACAAATCCAAATCCACAAATTGCCCCAAAAACAAATACAATGCCATCTTATGAAAATACAGGCTATAATCCACAATAAATTTGATACTCAATAAAACAAAACACCCTCATATACAGAAGCAATAAATAACTCTATGTTGAAAAACAAAATATTAAACATTTCATTAATAAATTTTCACACATTGAATCATTCAATAGATGATGTAAGTTTTAAAAATGAATATTTTTCTAAAGTTTTTTTATGCATTCACTTGGTATTGTTTGGCTTGTATCTTCCCATTGAGGTTTAAGACTGCAATTGATCAGTTTGTTATTGGCATATGTGCATACTGTGCGTATGCCTCGATATTACCTTGATTCGCAAGCTATTTGTAAGCAATGATGGATAGTGGCTAACGGTGGAATCCAGGACGCGCGTTTCGTCCTATTTGGGACTCGTCAGCTGGATGTGCCTGCATCTCAGAGAGTTGATGTTCACTCTTGGACTTGAACGCTGTACCATTCGCTTCAAACGCCATCGCGTTATCCACTCAGCTGACTTCAAATAACTCAATGAAAGTTTAATCATCAGCTTACTAGTGACTTTCTTTAAAATTTCCCTGAAGTTCTAGTGACATGTTGGATTAATACATTTTGGGAGTGAAACGTTCGATTTCTAGGCGGGATTTTTTATGATACCCCTAATTACTTACTTACGACTGTTACTCCCTATGGAATATAGGAAACCGATTAGAAAAATCCGATTCACTCTACCTTGTGCTCTCCTTTACAGTTATTCTCAAACAGTATTCATTCTTTTGATGTCTGCTTCCAACCCACTGGACAATGTGTTATTGAGTCTTTATCTCTTTTTTGACGTGAGAATTTCAAGTTAGGGCTTACCTTTTGATGCAGCTTTATGACTTTCGGAATATGTGTCTGATTCACTTCTAGCATTTTCTCTTAATTTCCTCTACAGATGGAAGATGGTTTGTTATCTGACATAGTAGGTTGTTACTGATGGTTTCTGGCCAACAGATCTGGAATGTATTTCATAGATATTTGTTTATCAATACCTGTGCCTTTTAATTGATCGTTGTGCAGTTCTCCAAATTTTGGTCCTACTAAGACGAAATGGCTTGCCATTGCTCCAATGGTATATATATATATATATATATATATATATATATATATATATATATATATATATATATGATTCGCTTTAGTTCCTTTTCGAAATCGAAAAAGCCTTATCTTAAACATCAAATTGGATAGTGTGACGTCAACTTATGAAATCAATAGGTGTTGCAAATATATGTCAGATTTTATGTTGCTTATAACTGTGTTATATATATTTATTCACAAAAGAATAGTAAAGTTGTTCTGTTCATAACGCACAGAAGTTCAAGTGGTCAACAGAAGTAGACAAACATGACGGTCATTAATTTGTGCAAATATTTCAGCACTAGAATAGTTCAGTCGCGAATTGGCTTTGGTTGTAATACATAGTGATGAAAGCATAAGATTGCCTTCTAGTGAAAATTTTCTAGTAGGAGACCTACATTCAGAGCTGTTTGATAATTCTCCTCTTTGTTACTAATGTGTAATCATTTAACTGTCAATTGTTCAAACTTATTAATCATTATAGTACTAGAGTACAATAACGTCTATCATTATCGTTTACCAAGTATAGAAATAATTTATCTAAAAAATTTCTAATGATTCGGAAAGCCAATTTCAGTTTGCTCATGATTAGATGGTTGAGATTAAGATTTTACTTAAAATCGTACAATGTTTCACAGGTGAGTCGTTTTTCCAAAGGCTTATCAATACTCCAGGATCATTTCGAAATATTTTTCAGTTTATTGTCGTAAATAATTATTATCGCAAGAATTCAATACAAATTTAGGTAAATTAGTTTCAAACTGTCGCTCCAAAATGCATTTTGATTCAAACCACTTTTTTATGACTTGTAAAAAACGTAATTTTCATCACAGAACGAATATATTGAAAAAGCAGTAACATCAAGGATGCAACGGACAGTAGTTTAATCTTGGTACGGAACATCCCATCTATATGTATCCACAAGCCCGCCAGGGAACGAACCCAGTACCTTCAGATTTTGCTGCATGCAGTTAGTCTTTTTATTCTTAGGACCTGGAGGTCCTGGGATAAGTCCTTGTTGAGTTCGTGAATATGCACTGCTGGAAAGTCACACACTAATATGGTTCAGCTGTTGAATACCTCTTGGTTCTAATGGTTCCCTAATTCAGGTCATTTCGTGATGTAAACTGATATGAAGGGATAGGAAGTTGACATCATTTGGGTCAATATTTTTGTATCAATTCAGTATGAACTTCGTTTAATATAATAAGTGTCAACCAATTCAACTGAACTATGTTCAGTATGTTTTTACTGTAACTCTATGTATCTCCTTTTATGTATGACATCATTATGGGTAACATTTTATATATAAATCATTATATTTCGGTCTAATGATAAAGTTACTTAAGGACGTTCTTGGGGACATGTGTTTGAAGAGCCAAAAAGTTTTCATTAGACCAGTTATTAGTGTTTTCAGTTTACACGGCATGAATTGTTGTGATTTCTCAGTATAAACCGTAGGATCGAGGAATTGCAGTGGTTCTTGATTATCAGTTATAAGTAGTAATACTAAAGACTCAATGAAATCGATATACCGGACGTTAAAGTGATGATATGTCAGATACAACAATGGCCTACATAACATAACTGTGAAACTATCAACTACACAACCACTTACACTAGAAATCGCTATATACTCTAGAAATAATCGAGAACAGAAGTAAGACAAGGAATAAACATATGAAGTTTAACAAGTTAAGCAATATATTTAGGTCAAAAAATAAACCAGGATTACCTTTCAGTGATTTATCATTTATTTAGTAGTTGAATTCATGAGTCAATTGAAGCTAAACTACCATGAGGAGTCCCATACTAGAACGAAACGGCCGTCCAGTGCTTCCAGGTTTTTTATGATGGTATAGCTTCAATTGACTCATGAATTCAACTACTAAATTACCATTATATCCACAAAACCCCTCTCTGATTATTATCATTTATTTGTTTATTGTTTTTGTCACAGTTTCCATCTATTGTCCCGTAACTTTTCTTAGTACTGAACTCTTTACTATACATTTGTAAAATATGTATCTTGACATTATGTTTTTTTTCCGGTCTTGTCAAACAATCAAATATTTTTAAAGTGATCATCACCTATGGAAAGCTAGAAAATACTGAGTTTCTAACTCATGATGGTAAACAAAATATTGATCCATTAATGTTCATCATTTAATTTTTCTGGAGTTTAAGGACAGTACAACAATAAATGCCTACATGTATTCAAAATTTCCCCTCTTCATTAATTTACTGACTTACGTTCGGTGTTAATAACCGAACATAAGTTATATATCAGTATACATTTATTCACTTTAGTGATCTAATAACACTGAATATAAAAACATATTAATATATATATATTTATGTATATTTCAACTTGATTGACACACTAGGCGGGTTGTTGGATATAAACAATAGTCCTGTGTAAAATGTTTACATATATGGGGCTTTTTATTTCGCATATATATATATTGATTTTAAGTAATAAGTAAATACTCTGTTGTTGTACTCCACGTTTATCTGCTATTGAAAATTCATGAAATATACTGGAAGGTTAACAGATGTATTATGCAAAAAAACGAAACTATGTATTACGTCATACAGATTTGTTTAATGCTCTTGTATTTTAGTGGGTCTCAGTGGAGCGAATTAAAAATGTATGAAATAGTTGTATCTAAAACAAAAGTGCGTAGAGAATGATTAAGTATTATTGATTTCGTAGATGAAGTGTTAATTTAATTATAATGGGATTAACAAAAATATGTTTCTAGTATATGAAGTAGTTGGTTGTCGTGGAACTGAGACATATCGCGGTTTAAATAGCGCTTGTTAGATTATTGGAGATAGTCAGCAGAAAACCCTGGGACTTAGCGTCATGTTGGCAAGTACTCATCAACAAGGTGTGTTTGTAGTCGTGAGGGAACTAATGCACGCCTAAGGTTTTCAATCCCGTTTCACCCTGTTTTACAATCAAAATCATTACTGCTGAGCAATTTGAGAGGCGACTGAATTCCTGTAGAAGTGAAATGTATTTGCGATTGATCACTGAGTCGTGACCAATAACATGTATATCAAGTCTTTCCTAATACTAATCGAATTCTCTTGATTGTGGTTCATGACACAGTTATTTAGAAAATTAAGATGATATAGCTTAAAGATGATCACAGTAGCGAAAATGTGTTGAACATCTGTGTCTAGTTATATTATATACTTTTTATTCTATAATTTTGTTTCATTTTTATTTCTAAACTACGATAGTCATGCTTATATTTTATCGAGATCATTAACCGAACCAAGTTAGACAACCAATGAAGACCTGGAAGGACTGGAAGGTCATTTCGTTCTGGTATGGGACTACTCATCAGTGTGCATTCATGACACGACAAGCGAAAATCGGACCCATAATCTTTAGTCTTGTACGCAAGGTTAGCCTCTAGACTAATGAGCCGGCTTCCGACACTGTTAATGTCTAACTCTAATCAATCCACGAAATTGGGTGATCAACAATCTCCACAACCCAATACTGAAAAGAAATCTCTTATAATGTTCGGTTTCTCCACGTCTACACAAATGGAACGTTGATTTTCCTTAGACGAATATCTACACTAGATTCCCTCCCAGTGTTTATTCGACAGGACTTCAACACAATGCAGATCAAGAACACGTGATTAGCCTGATTAGAACGTAAATACATTTCCACACCAAAAACACAACAACATATGGAGAAATTCGAACACTTCACTTCTATCTGAAGTTTGTGCTGATGATGTCGTTCAGAAGAACGATGAAAGCTCCACGACCAAACCATCCAGCTCAGAGAACAAAACACCACCAAAATCATCCACCTGAGCTACAAATCTTCTCCACACAACAATCCAACACAATTCAACACAATCACAGTAATAATAAGGGTAAGGGAATGTATAACTCATCTAGTACCTG